AAAAAAAAAAAAGTGACAAACACTGAAAAACATTCACTTTTTTCAGTGTAGTAATCGATGCAATTGAAAGCATGATTTTAATCAATAAGTCGAACGCATCATGATTTCAAAGGGAAATAGTCGAACAAATCGAAACCATCAAAGGTAGATAGATATAAAGAAGCTAAGTTATCTATGAACAACCAATTCAACTTTATATATGGGTTTTAATCAACAAACGACTCTATAACATCTAATAGATACATACAATCCACCTTAACAAGAAAACAATTCTAAGATTATAGTAACAAATCCACATGAAAAATTATCAAATTTAGTACTTGAATTCATTCCAATGGCGCGAAATACTGAATTTGATCGAGGGTGAATCTGACCAGCCCCTCCAGGATCATCAAAATCACAAGCTATGTGCCTTGACATCCTCATCTATTCTCCACCACATGCATCTCAAATCACTCAGCAAAAACCTATCAAATGGAACAAATATCAATGTAGGAATTCCAATAATTTCTAGACAAAAGCAACAAGTAGTATTCCAAAACTTTATCCTCCACTTGCAATTTCATTGTACGGACTGCAAAAACGAATGTACACTTATGCAAAGAGTCTTCATATTTACATAATTGTGCGTTGTTCAAATTTATCGAATTGGTCAATAAACTTCATAAGGATGCTTCCACAATTTATATAAAAGACATATAATGTTTATTTAAATGCATCACATCGTTAAATGTAAATGTAATTTCCAATTGAGACATTTTGTTAAACTCCTTGAAGGTGTCTTAGAAAATCAAAGGGAAAGAATGTACAATTTGGTTCTGGAGCTAATCCAAAATTTAATGACATTTTTTATGCATTTATACACAAACTCTATCATAAAGAAATTGATTAAACCTTTGAGATGCAAAGATTGCCATGCTTCTTTATCAATTTCTGGAGTGACCTCAGCTAGAGAATGGTTTATTTCCTACAAATGCCCATGATTGGAGTTTCTAACTTCTTGTCGTCATTTTTCAATGTGAGACAAAATAGTTTGTGGATACCAAGAATAATGTCACAGCTTGCTTAAATTTGAAGACCCCCATCAAAAATTAGTGATGACTTCCCATAAGATCATCAAGGGTAATCTTTCCACAGTTACCTATAAGATTTCCTTCTCTGAAACCATACCCATCTCCTCGAGGTTGTCAATAACGTACAACTTACTACCATATACCTAGAGGAAGGAAAACCAAATTAAAAGAGAAAAATGCAAAACTTAATGCAATTCTTTTGAAGAAATTACAATATATTCACATTCTCAACAAATTCATAACGCATTTGAGGTTTTCTTTCTACGAGAACATTGGAGTCGGAGTCGGAGTCGGAATTGGAGTCAGGAATGGAGGTTTCTCGAGAGCTCTGATTTAGGGATTCCCTTTCTGATTTGGGTTTTTCTCATGGGTTAAGGTTTTGAACGTAATTAATACGGTAATAGTAATTTTAATTAGTTTTAAGGTATTAATCAAACACTTAATTTTTATAGGGTACTGTACCTAATTTTCCCTTATAATTTTTGAATTGTATTTTTTTGGAGAATGTGTGGTTCAAAAATAATAAACTTTTTTTGGTTTACGTGTAATATTATTTGATGGGAGATTGTATAGTTGAAGATAAGATAGGGAAGAACAAATTTTTGGGATAGTGGAGGCCAAACGGGGGCTAAAAGTTCGTTTGATAAAGCTTTCAACAAAAGATTCATTGGATTTTGATGAAAGTTGATTTAGTCATTGTTTGATTTGGCCAAAAAATAGATATTTAGTAAATTTTAATAAAAGTTCATAAAATATGTGATTGAAAAGTTAATAAAAGTTATGGATTTCATGAAATGAGTGATTCTAAATGAGTTTGGGGAAAATTATTTTTTAAATGAGGGGCATAAACATGTGTTTTCTCTTTGATTTAAAAGTTAATAAAAGTTTTAAATTTCACGAGGTGTATAGTGAAAATTCAAATATGATTAGTTTAAAAGTTGATAAAAAAATTTCGAAATCTTTATATAAGGCAGCATCCTGAAATGCAAATATAAATATATGTTTAATCATTCCTTGTTTCATCCTCAATATTTTTAAAATACATTTTTCGCTCTTTTATTTTCAATCACACATTATTTAATAAAATAATATTACACGCAAATCAAAAAAATTTCCTGATTTTTCAACATATATTCTTCATCAATCTATTTGCTCCGTTTGATAGCACGCATTTTTCATGGAAAATTTTTCCATTTTCTAACTTTTATAGTGTTTGATAGTCAAAATTTTCTTGAGAAAATATTTTTCAACTTTTCAAAATTTTCACCTTTTTGAGGAAAATAAATTTTTGATGCTTTGGTGGGTAAATATTTTTCAGGTTTTTTTATTTTTTGTTTTGGCAATTGGAAAAAATTCTAAACACAATGGTAAAAAAAATTCACTTTTATTGACAATTTTCATGGAAATCAAAGCCAAACGAATTGTATTCGATGTGGTTATTTTTTTCATTTTTTTTTTTTGCAATTGAAACAAATTCTAGAATTTCTCTTTGATTTAAAAGTTAATAGAAGTTTTAAATTTCACGAGGTGTATAGTTAAAATTCAAATATGATTAGTTTAAAAGTTGATAAAAAAATTTCGAAATCTTTATATAAGACAGCATCCTGAAATGCAAATATAAATATATGTTTAATCATTCCTTGTTTCATCCTCAATATTTTTAAAATACATTTTTCGCTCTTTTATTTTCAATTACACATTATTTAATAAAATAATATTACACGCAAATCAAAAAGTTTTCCTGATTTTTCAACACATATTCTTCATCAATCTATTTGCTCCGTTTGATAGCACGCATTTTTCATGGAAAATTTTTCCATTTTCAAACTTTTATAGTGTTTGATAGTCAAAATTTTCTTGAGAAAGTATTTTTCAACTTTTCAAAATTTTCACCTTTTTGAGGAAAATAAATTCTTGATGCTTTGGTGGGTAAATATTTTTCAGGTTTTTTTATTTTTTGTTTTGGCAATTGGAAAAAATTCTAAACACAATGGTAAAAAAAATTCACTTTTATTGACAATTTTCATGGAAATCAAAGCCAAACGAATTGTATTCGATATGGTTATTTTTTTCATTTTTTTTTTGCAATTAAAACAAATTCTAGACCCAATGGTAGAAAATGTTATCACTTTAATGGACAATTTTAAAAAATGAAGTTAAACGGACACCAAACTTTCAACATTTTCCATGCAAAATTATACTAATCAAATACAATTAATTACAATTTCCAGTAAAATAATTTTTAGGCAAATCAATTCCTGTAAAACATTTTTTTCCATCAATTTTCCACATTTGCAATCAAACGGACATAGCACACATTTTCCATGGAAAATGGTTTCAATTTTCCAACTTTTGTAGTGTTTGATAGACAAATTTTTCCCGGTAAAATATTTTCAGAGTTTCCAATTTTTCCACTTTTTTGAGGAAAATAAATTCATGACGTTTTGGTGGGTAAACATTTTCCAGGTTTTTTTTTTTTTTGGTAATTAAAAAAAATTCTAGACACCATGGTAAAAAAAATTTCACTTTTGTTGATAATTTTCATGCAAAACAAAGCCAAACGAATAGTATTCGGTATCGTAATTCTTTTTTCGATTTTTTTTTTGCAATTGGAACAAATTTTAGATCCGATGGTAAAAAATATTATCACTTTAATAGACAATTTTCATAAAAAATGAAGCCAAATAGACACCAAATTTTCAACATTTCCATGAAAAATTGTACCAATCAAACATAATTAATTACAATTCCCAATAAAACAATTTTTAGGCAAATCAATTCCAATTAAAACATTTTCTTTCCATCTATTTTTCATATTTACAATCAAACGGACCCTAAATATTAAAATGCATTATTAAAACAAAATGAGGCTTGAACATGTATAGGATGTTCGTTCTCAACTTTGAAAATATAGCCGTTATTAGGTCCCACTCGTCTAATAAAAGTCAACTCCAACAACTATATTTTTAATTTTATTCTGATTTTAATCACTTTCAAACAAGCTCCTAGTATTCAATTAGTAATTTTTATTTTTTTTAAAAGCAAGCATATCAAACACTCTATTTGGCATTGAAAAAGCCTACTTTTAAGAATATCAAGGGACGTGTGATCAAGCTTTTGATAAAAGTTTAATGGATTTCGATAAAAAAAAAAGATAAAATATGTAATTAAAAGTTGATAAAAATTATGAATTTCATTAAGAGTTATTCTTCTTGTACATCAAGTGCTACATAAGGCCTAAGGGTATCCATAATGGACACTCGGCGCCCTCCCATTGGATGGAGTGCCGACCCCACCAACCATCCATCCAATGAGGAGGCGCCGGATGTCCATTATCGACACCCTTATGTAGCCTCTGATATACCTGTAGCATCACTCTTTCATTAAATAAGTGGTTTAATTGAAGTTTGAAAAGTCAAAAGGTCGACAAAATTTTAGCAAAGTTTTACTCTCTCTATCCTATTTATATAAGCTGGCGTTTTTTATGTTCTTGTGTAATTATATAGTCATAATTCTTTATTGAAAATATTTTTTTATTTGTTTACTAATATACCTTTATTTAAATTGTCTAGTTATAACAGTTTTTTTTTTTTTTAATTTACTACTAGTTGTTGATAATTAAATAAGGGTAAACTAGAAATTTTTTTGACAAAAATTGCTTTTGCAATAACATTAAATAATATTTCTTACTCCGTGTGAAAAACAAAACCAATATATATAAATGAGATAACCTATATAAATGGAATGAATGGAGTATTACAGTAAGAACATACAAGAAGTCAAAATTTGCTTTTAAAATTAAGAAGCTATTTTTGAACAAGTTTGAATAATTTTTTGAAAGTGTTTTATTTGATTATAATGATTTTTACTTTTACTTCTTGTTGTAGAGTTTTCGGAAGAAACTATAATAACTCCGTTTAAGTCGCATTAAAATGTTAAGAATGCATTTGAAATAGTTGCTTGATAGCGAATGTGTTATTAAAAAATAAGGAAAAATTTTAGATTTGCATATAATATTATTTTATTGAAAAATATGTAGTTGAAAAAAAGAATGAAAAATATATTTAAAAAAAAAAATAGGAATGAAACAAGGGCTAATTTTTGTTTGGAAACATTTAAGAAATCTTCCTATTCCAAAAATGATTATAGAGGAAGTCACGTTAGACTGATTTCCTCTAAAAAAATTTCTAATCATAGCAAAATCACTTTTATAAAATTAGTCATACGATTTAAAAGCAATTTTTGAATCTCAAAAATTCATTTTGACTTTTAAAAATTATATCAAACGTCCCTTAAGATAACTTCACGTGGAAATACTTCTACAAGAAAAATTAAAAAACTAAAAAAATAAAAATAAAATCATGTTGAACCGCCCAAATTTGAATAGTCAACTGATCTCATGTCCTTGTAAATTTCAAGGATAGAACGTAAGAGAGAAGAAAATAACAAATTAAAAATTAAACCCTTCTCTCTCACACACACAAACACGCAAACGCATTGCACACACTTAGAACCAGGCTAGGGTTCCTATTGGATTTTCGAAATTTTCGAATTTGCTTAAGTATTACAATAAAAGATCGATGGCGGAGGAGGAGGAGGTGTTAGTGGAGAGAAACGGTGGTGGAGAAGATCGGAGCGAAACGAGCGATTACACGTCGGAGGACGAAGGGACGGAGGACTACAGGCGCGGAGGCTACCACGCTGTACGAATAGGCGATACATTCAAACACGGCCGATATGTTGTTCAGAGCAAGCTAGGCTGGGGCCATTTCTCCACCGTCTGGCTCGCTTGGGACACTCAAAAATCTGTACATTTCTCGATTCGTCTACCTCATTTTTCGCAATTTTTACTATTCTTGTGCATTTTCTGCTGTCTTGTGGTTTTTCTGGTGAACTTATGTTTTTATTTTGACATGTTATAGACGCATATGAATAGGCGAAGTGAAAGAAAGAGAGCAGGAGAGTGTATAGAATGCATTGTTTAATCAAATTTAAGTCTTGAACCTAATTTTTGTTTGACTGATTGTGATTTTCTTTTACGTTAAATATTTGGGTGATAGAGTTATGTTGCACTAAAAGTTCAAAAGAGTGCACAGCACTACACGGAAGCAGCAATGGACGAGATTACTATATTAAAACAGATTGCCGAGGGAGATCCAGAAGACAAGAAATGTGTTGTGAAGCTTTTGGATCACTTTAAGCATTCCGGACCAAATGGGCAGCATGTTTGTATGGTTTTTGAGTACTTGGGTGACAATCTTTTGACCCTAATTAAGTATTCAGAATATAGAGGATTGCCTCTTCCCATGGTTAAAGAAATTTGCTTCCATATTTTAGTGGGGTTGGATTATTTGCATCGACAGCTTTCAATTATACACACAGATTTGAAGCCAGAGAACGTATTGCTTCTTTCGATGATCGATCCAGTTAAAGATCCAAGGAAGTCAGGTGCACCTCTTATTCTCCCTTTGAGTAAAAGCAAGGTCGTGCCTGAGTCTGGATCTTCCAAAAATCTCAAGAGTTCAAATGCCGACTTGACCAAGAATCAGAAAAAGAAAATTCAGAGAAAGGCTAAGCGAGCAGCTGAGAGGTGCGTGGAGAAGGGAGGGGAAGCCGAGCTAGATACTGAGGCGAGTGGTCCTGAAGATTCTCATCATGATTCCAAATCCAAGGGCAAGTCCGCTGACGAACCAACAAATTCTTCAGCTGCAGAAGATGAATTGGACAACTCTGATGGTGCAAAGGATGCAGGCAAAGGGATTAAAGTGCATAAAAGAGGCAGCCGTTTAACAAGGCAAAAGCTCTTGGCTGAAGTTGACCTAAAGTGCAAATTGGTTGATTTTGGAAATGCTTGTTGGACATATAAACAATTCACAACTGACATTCAGACAAGGCAGTACAGGTGTCCTGAGGTTATCCTAGGATCTAAGTACTCTACATCAGCTGATCTATGGTCATTTGCATGCATTTGCTTTGAGCTAGCCACGGGCGATGTTCTTTTCGATCCTCACAGCAGCGACGACTGTGATCGTGATGAGGTACTGGCACCTCTCTGTACTTAATACTTTTCCGTATCTGAGATTTATAGGATTAATAAACTAAGGTTTTGGTTATTGACCACGGGATCTGATAGAAGCAATTGTCATCGTACATGAATAGAGCAAGACAGGTGGTATACATGAGTGAGCACAATACCATTTTGCTAAGCTGCTTAGTGGTTCATCTCTGATTTTCTGTTTTCATTTTGCTGTAGCAGTGAGGTTCTAGGCGTTTTGTTACTAAGTGCTTGTAGCGCTGTTTTCATGTGTTATTGAAAATGTTATGTTTGTATTTCATGTTTACCTTTACTTGGAGTCGATTTAGTATTTGCTTTAAAATTTTACTACTGCCTTGAAACAAACTGCTCTGTGCTGGCACTGATAATCGTTTGATTGAGCATCTTTTACAAGTCATGCCTAAAAGCTTATTCAATTATGTCGCCCTTATCAGGATATCAAATGTTGGTTATTGTCTTCTCGATCCTGTGTTAGGCCATCATTTGATTGTTGTGCATATTGGAAATTCCATCGAGTGATTTTTCCCTGAGGACATTGCAGTTTTTATGTGGGTATCAGAAGTCGTTGAGTAACTTGAACTGATTGTTTGAATTTGAACAGAAGTAAATGTTACAATTTTAGATTCTTTTTGTTCTACCTTCCTTATCTCGTATGTCTGATCGTGAACACATATCCCAAATTGAAATTTGGAAGATTAGGAAAATGAAGTGACAATATAAGGAATTTAAGTGGTATGTTCCAGTTTCTGAGTCACATCATTGTTGGTTTTTAAATAAAGACTTACTGTAATGGGAAGATCCTGATTGATACATAGCTTTTCTATATGGCATAATCAATATGACTGGTTATTGCTATGGTTGGTGAGTAGTATTTACCACGTGAAATTTTTGCATGTGTTGACAACTATTTATATGAAGTATATGGATATTTTACTTGTGCATTTCTGTTGACCTATTGGGTTATCTTTTATATCTTCTTTTTCATATTCCTTGATTATGTTTTCATTCCATAGTTTAGACATATTTTTGCTCATGGTTCTTTACTTCATTTTTAAGTTACATCACTTAGTAAAAATGTATAGATGTAATGTTATTTTTGAACTGCTCCCTTCTTATGTTAGATATTCAGTGCTTGTTTGGTAAAGATTAAAATCCAATTAAAATTGAAAATATAGTCGTTATTGGATCTCACTCATCTAATAAAAGTCAACAATAACGGCTAGTTTTTCAATTTTAATCCGGTTTTAATCTCTACCGAACACGCCCTTAATGTTAAGTTAGTTTGGTCATTTTTGTGTTGGCTCATCAATGACTTGTGAGTTTCTGTCTTGTTGCTAAGTTCTTGAAATTTTCATGTTTTCTTTGGTTATTATTATTACCATTTATATCAGCCATCTGAATCAGTTACATAAGATGCATTTCCTAGCATTTATTTCAAATTCTTAAAATCGCATATATTGATTTTTATTAATTTGGTTGACTATTAATTAGTTTCTTTTTCCTTTGAAGGATCATTTGGCCCTAATGATGGAGCTTCTCGGGATGATGCCACGTAAGGTGAGAATTTTTGTATGTTTTTGGTGAAGTAAATTAGGATAATTTGGTTCCCTTCTTTTATTGTGCCTTACTGAAAGTCTCAAACCATCGGTTTGATTTTTTTGTTGAAACGATTTGTGAAGCTTGTTACATTATATACTCCCCCAAGAAGTCATCTTTCGCATGCTTACAAACTTTCTGCAGATCGCCTTAGGTGGGCGCTACTCACGGGAATTCTTTAATAGATACGGAGATTTAAGACATATCCATCGATTACGATTTTGGCCTCTCAATAAGGTGCTCAAGGAAAAATATGAGTTCAGTGAGCAAGATGCAAAAGAGCTGGCTGACTTCCTTCTTCAGATACTTGATTTTGTTCCCGAAAAAAGGCCGACAGCAGCACAATGTCTTAACCATCCATGGATCAGCACAGGCCCTTGGCGACTCACCCCTTCTCTGTCTCAAGAAAATGGTGACTCAGACAAGAAGAGAGAGAAGGATGAGAGGGAGGCAATGGAGGTCAGAGTGGGAAACATGGCTATCGACGGACAATCAAAACCAGTCAAAGATTCTTAATCTGTAGTAAACACTTCAAAACAATCATAATCAATATAATCTGGTATTTTCTTTAATTTTGTGTTTTATCCTTCCCATCTTTCACAAATCTTTGTTAAACTGCAATTATCTTTTTCCCTTTGTTAAAATGAGGAACACTTCTTTTATGATTCTTTGAGATATCCAAGTTTTGTATGAGATTGTTGAATGAGGTAGAATATATTCCTAGCATGTAGGCATCTCTGTTCAAGAACATTTAATCGTGCAATCTAGAAGCATGCCTAAATGTTGCTTCTCCTTGTCGTCGGTGGATTGTATTGATGTATTTATTTATTCAATGTTCATATTCTTCTTTTCGATGAGAACTGGATTGTTGTGAAAACTTTTTTCCCCCTTTTATTTGTGGTTGAATATATTTTTGAAATCGAACATCAGCAGTGGAGGTTCAATTTGTCTAGTAAGCTTACTTTGTTGTGCTTCACTTCATCTTGCCTGATATCTGAGCCATCAGGCTTTTGATTGATCTTCTTGTACCTTTCACCAGTGGATTATATTTTTGATTTTTCTGTTTTATTGATTCTCTTAGTTTGCTAAGGATCTAATTATCTTAAATCTCTGTGTAGATCTAGCAATGAATAGAAAGAAGTGGAAAAAGATTCATACAAGCCCGACTCAATATTACTGAAAAAAAGCTTTGGTTTTTTTAGCTGTTGCATTTATTCACTCGTGCACTCTCTCATGTCACTATTCAACTCTTATCCTTGTTCAACTGTCACCGCAGGAGCAAATAATAGATAAAGTTGCAGTCTCTTCTAGTGCGTACCTTGTGGTATTATGCTGCCCCTCCCCCGTTTTGGCGGTGAGTGGGTAAGAACTAAGAAGCTCCCTTCTGGCTGATTCTACTGGCAGAAACAGAAGATGAGAAGGTAATTTTGCATTCATCATAAGCAAAAATTTGCTCAAGCCCCAAGTTACATATAGACGTACATCAGATCAGATTTATATATGAATATCTTCGTCAGCTAGTGTCCAATTCAATCTCATCCTCTCATATACAAGGAGCCACAAACTCATAACCGATATAAGGCTGTTGAATTTTTCTATTATGTTTGGAATTCAGTATTCAACGAGACTCCACTATATAATATACAAGATTTTGGTTTCATTTTCCTTTAATATTGTCAATGTTGATCTATAGTGCGATGGATTTCTGTGCAATATTGCATACCAAATACTGCATCTCCTATTGAACTAAATATAATTAATAATGGAGATTACAAAGAATACAATACACCCATTAAAGATCAAAGTCACGTGAACTCAAGATTTACATGGGCTAATCCATTCCAACTCCATTTTCTCCAATTCATCATGGCAGAGCCACTGAGTTTAATAGCTTCTTAGCTCCCGAAGAACCAACACGAACTTGTTCTTCCCCCTGTCTATCGTCGTAGAAGCTGTTTCTAGGTGAGTTGATGGTAAGTAACTGAGATTCTAGCACTTAAGTCCCAGTAATGAAAGACATAACTTCAGGGAAACCTTGCAGAAGAAAACTTCGTCGCCAATCAAATAGCATCACATTTAGGAAAGGATTTGGCAAATAAATGTCTTTCTGAGCTTAATGTGTGAAAACAGTGAGGGATTAGCCAACAAATCCCATCCTGTGTGAAAAGGTTTCGCTTCATTGCTTAGCACTTCGAGTGATAGCCATTACTGAAGTTTATTGTATTTTTACAATTTTGGATTAAAATCGATAGCTGAATGTAACGATGAATTGTCTTCTATATTGTTTTCGTAATGTGTTGTAGATTAGGGTTTTGTTTGCTCACAATTTTGATAATGGAAATGGAGAATAATCTGTAATTTTCAAAAACATTTGCTTTCGAAGGCTTAATAACAATTGCAATTCATAAAATACTGCACACAATATTTAATTTCGAATGATCAGTTGAAATTAATTGAAGAGAATGAGTCGAGAAAACATAGTTGGAAAAGAGCCGTCTCAGAACCTTTTTCCTCACAAAATTAGCAGTCTTGAAGCTGCCTGGGAAGCGCGCATTCAATCTTGGAACAGAGGCTGGTAGAACATTTTGAAGACCTCTATGACTTCGAGGTACCACATAGACTCCCTATCTGGAAATGGGGAAAGATCCACCATTTTGTGAACCTGAAATTTGGACATCATCAGCTTGCATAAAAATGATGACACGCAAACTCTACAAATTTATTCTAAATTTTGAGTTTTCGGTTTCGAGATGAAGATAGTAACCAGTACATCAGCAGTACCTTCTGTGTCGATCTCATTCATGCAATTAAAGAGATAGTGATTGTAAAGAAACCATGATAGATCAAATAACAGAAATTTTGCAACAACTATAAACGCATATAAAGATGACAAACGCATCTCATTCCTCGAGTTTGCTGGTGCCATTTTTCCATATTCACCGTGGAAGCCGAGACTCAAGAACAATCAGAGAAAAAAAAAAAAACGTTGACCAGAAGTGTATTAAAGATACAAGGATGAGGCTTTCAATAAAAAAAGTCGGGGCTCTCGAAGTGCTAGCTGACACATACTTCTTTTTTAAACTTTTAGCTAATTGCTATTCTCCAGAGAGGAAGATGTATAAAGTTTGATAGAAAGTTCGCTTCCCGTGCCCGCCATCTTGTGCCATTAGATGAACAAAGGTATGATCGCAAGGAACATCTTCTAATCCCACCCTAGCCCATCTTTTCCGATCTCTTAGCCTACCTTGCCGTACCAATGGACATAGTCTATCAAAGCCATCAAAGACCAAATTGTATAACATGGAATCATTTCTCTTAGGGTCCATTTGATTGTAAATATGAAAAATGGAAGGAAAGAAAATGTTTTACAGAGAATTAAATTGTCTAGAAATTATATTACTGAGAATTGTAATTAATTGTGTTTGATTGGTATAATTTTCCACCTGAAAAATGTTGAAAGTTTGGTATCCGTTTGACTTCGTTTTTTATGAAAATTGTTCATTAAAGTGATAATTTTTTCTACCATTGGATCTAGAATTTGTTCCAATTGCCAAAAAAGGCAAGAAAACCAATTCACCAATTCCTTAGAAAATAGGCACGTGAGGGTGCTTCTAGGAAAACCAATTCCCTAGAAAATTTATCTTATCAAACACCTAATTTGTTGGAAAAAGGAAAAAATTTTCCAACTTCCCTAGAAAATAATGCATTTCAAACAGGCCTTAGTTTCATTTATATAATTATATTAGCTAATAACTAAAAGTTTCCTACATCTAATAGAAGAATGAAAAATGAAGATGTTAATTGCAATACTGTTGTATCCAATAGATAAATGTAAGAAATCACTTCTGGTTTAGGGCTAAACCATCTCAATGTCTTCATGTCAGCCATGCTCACTTTTTGCTTATGTTGCTTTTTAGTTGGTCACAACACTTGCACGCTTCTCTCTTTCATGCAGTCTGATCATTAATTGAGGCATGCATGAATCTAGCAGTACAATTCATGCACTTCATTAACCCGGCCAGTCTGATCAATAAAGATATCTTCTAGTATATATGAAGCCCTTCAAAGGAATGTAACGCCTTATGAGATGTAATTTATTGCCGGTAGGGATTCAAAACAAGGACACAAACCAAATCTTTATTGAATCACAAGCAACTCAGTTGAGAGTTAACAACCTATAATAGAACTTTCTTCTACCATTTCTTAGGTTTCCTAAATCCTTTATTTCTTAGGTGCAGGCCTAAGAGTGTATTCCAAATATGTTCCATCCTTTTTAATGGGAAATTGGTTAGATATTTTCCTGGGACATAAGGCCTCTGGCAAGAGGACTTGCATCCTGCTATTTCTTCATCCCCATCCTCCATAACTATTCCTATTGACATCTACAAGGTTTCATCTTATGATCCGTCAAGACCCAGCAGTTTCATTTTAACCGTCCGTTACCCCGCCTTTGCAGATTTCCTATTTGTATTTGCTAGTATTTTTTCTATGCGATAGCCACTAAACCCTCATTGAAATCCTCGAGTCTGTCCTGACTGCCTCTTTGCTAATCTCAAGATTCCCAACAAGTTCCTTGTTTTATTTGGCACCATTTTCTGTTACATTCATAACACATCTAATTTTGTCATCCGTGGGAATGGAAGAGGGCCTTCTTCCTACTACCACTTCTACCAGATAGAGGCTAATTGCTGTCAAACCATAAGGATGCTATTATCAGTAGGATCAATAGCTGGAAAGCCAAAATTTACTTACACCAGAAAACTTCAACTAATAAATTCGTTTTTCATTTGAGGTAACTTTATATGCAGGGAGAACTTGAGTTACTATGATTGGCTCATTACAATTTTGTGTTCCATTAAACACGTCAGGTAATAACCATTCACAAGGACACATTTTGAAATAATTGTTTTGCAAAGGAATATTTCACTAGATATTCTATTTGAAGTACGCAAGTTCTGTACCTGCTTTTGCATCCAGAAGTGAAGATGGACAGTTAAATATATTACTCATAACAGGAGATAGGACTGCAGGAAATGTAGGTGTATCCACAGCACCCAACTCATCATGATATGGATCTCTTTTTGGGAAACCATTCCAAATATTTATGGAGAATGCAAAAGCTCAAGAAGTTACTAAATCTTGCAAGAAAACATACGAGATCTCTGGCTCTTCTGGAACGAACTCTCTTCAATCCTAAGAGCAAGGCATAGATGCAACAATCAGGTTGTTTGGAAGGCTAAACCATCTCATATCAGCATGGCATGAAACCCACAAGGAGAATACATTGGCATAATTCAGTAATTCCATTCTGTCGTATTCTTTCACCGTGTTACTTTCCATCCATTCTATGGTTAGACCTAAAGATATATTGTTGAGCTGGGCTCACTCACAATGTAATATGCAGTCTACACCAGTTGTGGCCTAATCAGTGTCGCCTTTTGATACTTTTTCAAAGGCTCAAAAATGATAGTAAAACTATCCATACCTAGAGAGTAAATTTACAACAGTTGTTTCTTTCATTGGCAAGAAAGGAACAGTTGAAGGTTTAGCAACGAAGGTGAGTTTCTAACACAAACGATCATTTTCACAAATCGTCAAGCTCGGACACTATTCTTGACTTCATATAAAGCATCATAAATATTTACTTTACACTATTTATTCAACCAAATTTGCATATTCACGTAGAAATTCCATGGTTAAAAGCACTGATATTTTACCTTGACCGCGGAGGTACCATCATCACGGACAGAATAAAACCCAACCACCATCACATACATCCCTACACACATAAACCCAGAGAAACAATGATGTAATTTTCAGAAAAAAATAAAAGAAAAGAAAAACCAAGTGAAAAAATCTGACCCGTTTCCCAATTGCGACTACGGAAGTCGCCAAAGAGTTGTAGCTCAATAACACCAGTACCATCGTCTAAGTGGAAGCCTCCACCGCCGGAGTCGGAGGACGACGGTATAGAGACTAGAACGCCCTGCAATTCGGCTTCCAACTATGAATTCAATGAGAGAATAAGGAGGGGGGGGGGGGGGGGGGGGAACGGTAGTTGTAGGAACTGTTATATTTCTAGCAATGTCATTCATGAATTACAGAAGAATGAAATGCATTTGCTATACTTCTCTGCAAGGAAAGTTTCTGCTTTCTAATGATTCTTCTCCCTCTTTATTTTCTGTTNATACCACCAAGGGTGAAGGCTTTCTGCGACGGCGCTTCGCGAGCGTTTTTCAGCTGAATACACAGCAATTTCAGCGCTCCTAAACTATAATCCATGATTTTTTGGAAAAATCTCTCAGATTTTCAATCCCTATTTGGCTGTAAATTCAAATTTCAACTGTTGAAATTGTTTCTCTTATCATATTGATTATGACAAATTGCTGCTTCGTCACAAGAGAATCAATCGTGAGAAGTGTGAAAAATTAGGAGGGAAAGTGTACAGTGGAAAATATAATGGGAATTCGTTGTAAATAGTCCCTAACCTTTTCTTACAGTATACAAATGGCCCCTAATGTCTATTCCTTGGCATGAACGTCTCTAATCAAGGTAATGCCTTTTGATTTCACCTGTTTTAGCCTCGGATTTATAACTCAAATGTTTCTATTGTTGTTTTGGATTCACATTTAATCCACTAAGTATTTTGATGCGAAATTGGTCCTCTTTGTAATAGAAAGATTAGGGAAAATTGTAGCTAGTTTACTAACCTTTATAAAAAGTACAAATAGGTCCTCAACCTTTACTTATAATATTTGATTTAGGTCCGTTTGGCATGATTTTTATTTTTGCTTGTATAAGAGTTCTTGGAAGAAACTACCTTAGCCCACATTTTTTCACAACTCTTTATTCTATATATTCATTTTCAACCAAATATTCACACAATAAAATATTCTATGTGTAGACCAAAAAAATTTTCTTACTTTTTAATCACACATTCTCCAAAAATTCGCTATTCTAAATAATGTTTTTCCAAACGAATGGTCACCAAAAGGGGGTTTAATTTTTGTTTGAAAACTAGAAGCTTCTATTCTAGAAGTGCTTTTAGAAGAAATCACAAAACACACAGCTTCTTCCAAAAACTCTTCTAACTAAGGTCTTGTTTGAGCCACATTTTTATAGAATGAAAATGAAAAATATAGTCGTTATTGGAGCTCACACAAGATATAGAAAATTGAATTAAAATGTTGATGTGATGGATAACTGTCATATTTTTCATTTTAATGAGAAAATAAAGTGGCCCAAATGGGGGCTAAAAAAGTATTTTCATAAAATTAGACAACAGGTCCAAAAGCTGCTTTTGAATCTCAAAAATTCCCTTTCGACTTTTCTTAAGCCATGCCAAATAATCCTTTAACGAACTACATATATCATTATAGACTTGTCAATTAAATTTTCTAGAATGAAAAAAAATATATCTTTAAGAGTGTGTTTGAGACACATTCTTTTGAAAGAATGTATTATTGAATAGTAGATTGATGGAGAATGTGTGGTTAAAAATGAAGGAAAAATTATTGATATGATGAAAAATATTAGTTTATTGAAGAATGTGTTGTTGAAAATTAGTAGAAGAATGAGAATGAAGAAAATAATGTGTACTGAACAGGGCTTAAATGTATATAACTGCTTTGTGAAGTAAAAAACTTGAATAATAATAACCAAATTAAATCGGGAGAAAGTTGTGGCATTCGTCCCCAACCTATGGTCATTGTAACATTTCAGCCTTAATTTTTTTTTCCATGTAAACCTAAAACTAATCTTAACCACATATTCTCCTACAAAACACTATTCAAAACATTGTCTTGGCCAAATAATGGCCATCAAACAGGGGCTTATGGAGACACATTCTGCCCATTTTCTCCAATAACGCAATATGAAATATAGGTATTTCTTAGTACTCTCATATTCAATAAATTAAAAATGAAGACAACCGTCATAAAATTAATACCGCAAAGTACAAGTATAATCATAATCGACATCACATTGTTACAATAAGTCAATCACTCACGACACAAATAAACAAATGTAGAATTCAAAACGAACCCTTACAAGAATGAACATCAAAAGCAATTTCAATCGACTCGAAAATTAAATGTTTAAAAAAATTTTAGGAGATGAGGGAAATGCCAGCAGCAAGCAAGTCATCAGAAATAATTTTATTTGCAGCCTCTGAAGGATGAAATCCATCCCAAAACACATATTCTGATGCATTTTTGCATGTTCCAGGGGACTTTGCATTGCATAGTATAGATGTCTCCACCAATCCTGTGCCACAACAAGCCTTTCTTGATTCAAAAAAGCCTGCATTTCAATCGTAAGTTTCATTATATTCTATGTTGCACGAATATGGACACAACACAATACAAACATAGACACATTATACTCATGTTTGGCATAACTTTATTAGATTATAAGTTGTGGATCTTACGAAATAAGTTTGTAAAAGTTATGGATCTCACATAGTATATGGATAAAAATAGAGTTTGGTCAACTTGTAAGCAATTATAAATTTTCCAAATCATGTCATCTTTAAAATTTCTATATTAATGGAGTGTTCGAGTGTTACATATAGAAAAATAGGATAAGGCATGTGGTTTGTTGGACCCATATCATGGAGTGTTCAAGAAATATCAGTATTCGTCATGGTATGATATGTGTTGGACACGAATACACTAACCCAGTAGGAATGTTTGTGCATCACAGATTATATGCAATACTAAATTATATATTTAGCTTTTGTTTGATGGAGATTAAAATCAGATTTTGATAAAAGTTGATGAAATGTGAGGTTAATAATTTGTGGATTCCATGAAATATGTGGTTAGAATTAATTGTTGAATTTGATTTGATAAAAATCTAGATTTTAATTTGTGTCAAATAGGAGCTTAATTTTGAGCTAAGGAATAGAAAGTTTACCATTGTCACTAGGCTTTGTAACCAGGTCATAAAGAGGCTGGTAGATATCCAAAATAACAAGATTAAGACCAGAAAGTTTGCTTTGCAAATTCTGGGATGTTGCATTCAATTTATTGTTGAATGAAATTGCTGCTTTGTTTACTTTTTGTACACATTCATTGCTGTCCTCTCCAAATATTGTAATCACTGCTGGTACACATCCAAGTGGTGGCAATGTTGTCACTCCAATCTTCCTTGCTCCCAACTTGTACAATTCCTGTCCAAAAAAGTTTTCTCTTTATATCGTGAACTTATTAGGTCCCCGTTTGGTCCCAATTTTTTGTAACTTATTTTCTCTCAAATTTATTTTCAACCATACATTAATAGGACTACAATTTTTATCAACTTTTCAATAACACATTTCATCATTTTTTATCAAAATCTACTAAAAATCTGATTTTAACCGAACCAAATAGGGGCTAGGTGCACATTGGGTTGGAGGGTATATTACTCATTTTATATATGAGAGGTCCTAATAATATTCCTATATATGTAAATTATTTTTAGGGGGGTGTAGTATTTTGGTAAAATGACACAAGTATGAAGCTCTCACAATGAGTATGGACCACTATAAATTTTTGTGTGTGTTTCTCATTTTATTTCGCTCGATATTGCTATAGTAATTAAGATTCGGGCTTAATCCGTAACCCTCCATTCAACTTTCATTTAAGCTCACTATCAATAGCGGAGACAGAATTTCAACAATACGGGGAGAAAAAAATGTTAAAAGCGGCAAAATATATATTTATTTTGCATATATTTAAAAAAAATTTCAGAACTTTCTATATAAATTTCAAATGTTGCACCCGCCACCCCCGGCCCACCCATGGCTCCGCCACTGCTCATAAAACACAAGAGTTAATAGGCCAATTGCCTGTTTCTATGGGACATAGGCCTCCTTAGACTGAAGATTATCCCCGATCGTCTAATGGTCGACCTTGAACCCGATTATTTTGAGTTCCCATCGAAGTTATTTAGTAGATGTTACCTGTATGAATTTTGTGTAGGATTGTAGGAGAATGTTTGAGAACTGATCAGTTGTGTAGACCTTGTAGAGAAGAGGATTAATATAGTAATTCTGAACAAAATCACTGCTTCCATCACTAATTAGGTATACTGAATCAGAAATTATTGATGAAGCATTGGATTTCCCTGCAATTCCCACCAGTTTCTTCTGATAATCCTTGTAGAATTCTAGTTGCTTGCTCAATGGAATTGTATTCTACAAGAGCAAAATCCCGTTTTAGACTGTTGAAGATAAAGATATAAAAATACATACTTGGATCTCTAACGACTTATGGCATGAATGCCACTAAAGATTCGGATACGACTAAACCATACTATAGGGAAAAAGAAAAGCTAAAATCTTGTTAATTATATTAATCAGTCATGTCTAATACTGTGTACCAGACATGCACTTAATTGAGCCTGCACGTGAGGGGACAAATCATCTCTAGCAATTTAAGGTTTAAAACGAGGTTGTTTAACATAGAAGATAGTCTAAATTGGTGTTAAACTAAGAAGACTTAATGATGCACTTAGCATTGTTCTTACATAGATTTTTGCTGTTTCATCATAATAACCGGAGGAAGCAGAAGCAAAGTTGGCTCCAATAAGCAGGTTTTTTCCTGTAGCATTCTTGCTGAGATAAGCTGGTGGATATGAAGTAAATCCAAGGCTTTCAGCTGCATATATGAAGAAATCAAACAGGCTTAAAGGTCCAAGTTCAAGTTTGATCACAATCTACTAATCTGCGTGTTGAAGACGTAATTTAAATAATAGTTTTTCCCTCTCTAACAACTTATATTATAGACGAGGTGGTTCGATCGAGAAATGAGACAGAGTTTAGTACCAGTAAAGTCTGAAGCCAGTTTTCCATTACAAAATCTCCCAGTTGGCTTGTGATTGACAAAGTCTCTTCCATAAGGTGGGAAATTTGATTTGACAATTGTTTCAAGATTGTTGTTATTTCCCACATCAACAACCGAGTCTCCAAATATGAAGAGTGCAGGAACTAGAGGCTGTGAATTTATCGCGCCAAGACGACATAAAACGACAGTAAAAATGGCAAAGAAACTTGAAATTTTCATGGTTTAAGGTACTAGGAATTCTTACTTAGTACTGATACTAGAATGACAAAGAGAATATGAAGATTTTTTTCTTAGAAGAACAATTTATAGTGTGGTTAATGGCCTAATTGGTTGAAATGGCTACATCTTATGATCTTCTGGCAGTTTCAAAATGTATATAATTCTAACTAAAGAGAATATAAAAAATGTGTTTAGTGAATTCCCAAAAAAAAAAAAAAAAATATTTCTTGGGATGAATTTATTATTTATGTAATTATCTACCAATTTTGTTAATTTAATGTGAGGAAGGTGCACTGATTTTCTTTAAAATTTCCCATTTTCTTTTAGGGTCTTTGGTACCAATAGTATTACATTTTATTTTATTCCTTTTAAGTAGGTTGTTGATTGGAGTGAAAAATTGTAGCGAATTTGGTAACTAGTAATGAACAAAACTATACACGATAATGAATAAAATATTAACTATTTTTTACTTCTTTAATATTATCTATTAATACATACCAAACATGAATTTATATCATGATTTCAAGCGGATCGCTAAGCTTTTTTTAAGTTACTTAAATAATACTTTTACCTCAACCATTTACTCATTCCAACTCTTTTATATAGAAATAAATAGAAAAACGATATAAATATTGATATGACATAAATAAATTTGAACTAAACGGAGATTAATACTATAACTAGACTAGTATAAAAGTGTTAATTCAATAATTCGTCGTAGTAGTTTATACAACATTTAAACTCTAAATAATAATATAATTGAGCAAGCATCACTACACGTAGTTTTACGAATTTGTGGAGACTTGTATTTTTGATAAATTGCCCATAGTTTCTCACCTTTAGCGTAGTCGACGACCAATTTTTTTTTTATTTTTTATAACCACTGCCATGAATTGAGCAAACCTTCATAAAAAAATTATCTTGTGACAATTCTTCAATTTAACCATGTTAATTTATTCATAAATTGAGATATCTTGTGGCAAAAGCTATAAGCACCCAAAAGAATTGGCATTGGTTCCACCTAAATTCAACTGGCTTGTCTTGCTAAACTTTTACTTTTAGCTGTACTAGGCTTGTAATTCACATTCCTTCATGTAAACAAAATCCAGAAGACTTCTTAACTCCAAATTCAACAATATGCACTCAAAATTATTTATTTTTGCGTTTACGAAATATTTAATATAGAGAATTGGATAGAGAAAAATACGTTAAAATTTTAGTCATTATATACACATTAATGAATATGCATTGAGGAAATTACACCTAGACCTGGATTTAAAATACCATTTTCATTAATAATTAGCGTAGTCGACGACCAATTTTTATTTTATTTTTTATAACCACTGCCATGAATTGAGCAAACCTTCATAAAAAAATTATCTTGTGACAATTCTTCAATTTAACCATGTTAATTTATTCATAAATTGAGATATCTTGTGTCAAAAGCTATAAGCACCCAAAAGAATTGGCATTGGTTCCACCTAAATTCAACTGGCTTGTCTTGCTAAACTTTTACTTTTAGCTGTACTAGGCTTGTAATTCACATTCCTTCATGTAAACAAAACCCAGAAGACTTCTTAACTCCAAATTCAACAATATGCACTCAAAATTATTTATTTTTGCATTTACGAAATACGTTAGGCCCAGTAGAGAGATTTGGATAGAGAAAAATACGTTAAAATTTTAGTCATTATATCCATATTAATGAATATGCATTTAAGGGTACAAACTTTGAATGAAAAGCTTTAGATACAAAACGGGTTTAGATGGGACCATGCCATTAGGCCCAGACCATAACAAAGCTGGGCTAGTTTAGGCCCAGTATCGGGCCATCCCCATTTCAGCTACCGACCCAATAACGGAACTTTTTAGTTGCATTGTTCAATCATATTTAATTTAACATAACAAACATTCAACAATAACTTAGGTTTAGTCATGCTCCGAACGCACTAACCACGACCCCGTTAGTGTGTGGATTTAGAGAGAACTAATATGTAGTAGCATTTTTATGTTTCTGAGCCTCTTGTCCTTTGTCCCGTCCCATCTATGATCTAGTTCAACATTCCAAACATGTCACAAGAGAATCAAACTACTACACAGGGCAATATCACTTCCACAGTATGTCAACTAGAATTATGTAGAAAAAAGCTGGAAAAAAAATCTACTTATTCGATTACAAGATTTGAGGACAACAAAATTTTCAATTTCAAACTTACATTAACATCCCCATTAGCCTAATTAGATCTAACTTGTCTTTTTTTCTTTTCAGTAACGTCTCTCCGTCGCTACTTCCCACTCTGGACTGGTATTTATCAAGATTTCTCGGCCTCTTTCTTCATTTTTAGCCCTCGACTCTTCTTGGCTCTAGTTTTTCCGCAAAACCTTCATTTAAACTCTCAAACAAAATCTCTTGATCTTCATTCAAAGTGGAATATTTATTTTCTTGGACATTTTCATGATATCCGAATATATTCTGTCTCGTCCCAACTCTGAACCCGAGGCTCCAGCAGCTACTCGGAGCACGTCTTCGATCAAGGCAACATTTCCCAATATATCAACATGTGCACCACTCTCTGAACCTCTCCCCTCGAGCAAATTTGCCGGTGCTTTGTGCCTGTACTCTCTTATGTATGTAGAAATTCCGGAAGGATTAAACCGTGTTTTACCTCTCCACCCTTTGGCACACAAGAAACCGGCACTCAAGACTGGGACGCTCTCATCACCATCCACAAAGAATACACCACCCTTTAAGCAGCCATTGTCACTTCCGTCTGCAGAGCTATCGATTTGGAAAGGGATGCTATTGCACCTGCCTGAGGGTGATTGTTTGTACACGTACGATCTTTCAGTGGGAATTCCGACTCCATATGAACAGTAAATCTCCATGTCCGGAGCGTCTGGCAACCTGAAAACAGAGATACATTAACAAACTTTTACTCAGTGCTTAGAGAATTGAGGAGTCAAAAGTGAAGGTAATCGATGAATAACAGAATTACCGAATTTATCATAAACTATGTATATTCATACTCTATCAGCCAGGCAGATGAAGAATTCTATTGATGCAATACAAAGAATAACACCACGGTTGAAAGCCAAACACATGATGGTATTGGTATTGAACACAGATGAAACAGATAATAAATGAATTACAAAATATTTATTCTTACTTGGTTTCAAGTGGATTCGACCAGTATTTGTAATGGTTATACTTTGGATCGTCAAGGTCCCCGGCTATCCCATGTGAGAAGTGCGCTTCAGCCCTCTTCATCATCTTCGGAGCAATAACGCGTAGAAGATCTAACAGGCTTTTCGTGGTATATGCTTTGTTTTCAGCGATTCTCCGGATGTTTTCCCGGCTCATCTCCTCATATTCCGTCCATACACCTCTACATGCTGCATTGGAATTTGAAGAGCCATTAAGGCTCATAAATTCCTGTTTCTATGTCCATTAGAACAACAAAAAGATAAGGAAATTATTTTTCTATGGCGGACTATTTTTTTGCTGAAATCTTGTAAAGAAAAACTATTTTGATGTCAAATGCATGCATATTCTAAAAATCAGAAGTACACAAGGCTGAAATTTAACTTATTTGAAGATCAGGGAAAGCACTTCTTTTTATAAATTATGTAGCTTTGAGTAGGAAAAATAGTAATCACTTAAACATAAAATGACATGGGAATAGTTATACCTTGGAAGTAAGAGTCGGGAGTAGAGAAGAAGGCAAATCCGATACTATTTTCCCAAATGAGATAATTCTTCCATATTTAGTTGGCTCTTGTACTTGGAAAATCCTTCGACTGTCACTGTTATTGCCATTGTTGTCAAAATCTTGCTGATACTTTTTCTTTGCTGAATCACATACATGATGTTCTTCCGGAGACCAATCCAAGTTACCCCATATCGTCTCTCCTCCTTTAGGTATCAAAGAAATGACAGAATCCCATGTTCGAGATACACGCATGACATGATGTAGAGTTTGAAGGCCGAGAATTTCGGAATCTAGAAGACCGGGAGCCATTGCTCTGCAATATTAAATGCAGAAGAAATCATGGGCATGAGTACGATGAAAATAAAATGACAAGAATATACTTTATTGGATGAGGCTCAATTTAAATGCATAATATGCAAAGGAACTAAAATGACAAGAATATACTTTATTGGATGAGGTTTAATTTGAATGCATAATATGCAAAGGAATTTACCTGATAAAAGCAACATCTTTGCTCTCGGCCGACAATATGTTACCGACAGCTTTCGGAACACCAAGAAATGCGGGACCGATATTCATGATTGATTTTATGTGCTTGGCACACCAGCCTGGGCTACCACCTCCTCCCATTGGTGGAGGCGCTTCAACCCATTTAAGGAAATGGAGAAAATAGATAACCCCCATGGAATGAGGCACCACCACCACTTTTTTATTCCCATTAGTTACATACAGAAGCTCGATTTTACTCTTTAATCTGCTAAGATTTTGGTCCCGGGCATGCACAATCCAAAATAGGAATATAATATAGAAAACTAGACTCAATTGAAGACATTTACACATTACTAGCTAATTCTTTACACTAATTAAACCGAAAAATTTGAGAGCACATGGTCCTTGACTGGACAGTACAATGAACAGCAGTTTAGTTTCTAAGCATAGGTTCTTGAACAATTACGAGACTAACATTCCACTTTCATGAGACACTTGAAGTAAGGAAATAAGTAGAATATGCAAGAAGTTAAGGCTTGGCTATAGTTGCATTCAATCAATTACTACAAAAGAATCTAGCACCAATCAAGATTATGGTCATGATTGGTAATAAATGCTCATATTATCATGAATTCTAGCATTAAATAACTAAAATTTGGCCCAACCTGATAATCGGCAGAGGACACATCGTCACGTTTAATATTTATATAAAACCGGCTTGAGTTATACTTCATCGGAACTAAGGTTAATAAGATGATCCATCAAAGGCAAAAAATGTATATCCTCTTTTTGCAAAATTTACCTCTGTATTCTGAAAAGATAGCCTCCAATCATATGCAGCCATGTAAATGTTCTTGCCCTCGTAGCCTATGCGGGCTAAATTTTCAATAAGAATAGCCCAAACAAAAAATCCCGGAGCAAAATAATCAGCTGCAACTAGTCCCGGAACCGCACGAACCCTAATGCCCGGTGGATCGAGCCCCGTCTCATTGTCCAAAGATAGATGCTCCAACCAACACATAGGCCTAAAATCCATTAAAATTGTTATAAAATGGATCGCAAGATAATGGCAATAATGAAATAATGAAGAAGAAAATAAGAACACAAGAATTTACGTGAAAATCCAATTCTGAAAAAAACCACGGGTAGAGAAGAGCAATTCACTATAATCAATAGTTTTGTATTTACAATATCAAAATTTCAATAATCTCAATTGAAAAATCTATACTCTCAATCTCTTAATATGTTGTTGAATGTGTAGAGAATATAATATGAATTTTACAATATGGAGATACAATGTGGAAATATATATAAACCCTTTTATTTGAGTCCAAAATGAAGAAGAAGTCCAAAAATCCAAGTAAAGCGGGAAAAACGCGGAAGAATACGCTACCAAGGTGCCGCTGCGGCGCCGGCTTGCAAAAAATAATTTTTTTTTTTTTTTCCTTTTTCATCTCAAAGTGTTTAATTCCATCTCCAAATCCTTTTCCATATCAAACTCTTTTAGACTTCTTCCAATCAACCAAATCCAAATCACATCGAATTTGGATCACATCACGACAAAAACAATTGGGTGCTACAATCTCAATACAGATTTCAACCCTTTAAAGCCTAACAGTTATGGAGCATACAAACTTATATTTAAATTTTCATCAGCGCGTACCACATACAAACTGATTTTCTCATGAAAGTCGTGCGCATGACGGCGTGACAAACTCGGTCTTTTACTAGCACGATACCATGTCAAACCAGGACAAGCTTATTTATTTAAATTGTATTTTAACTTACGCACGTAACAAAATGAAAATGTACAAACTACCTCCTCAAAATTTCAGTAAAGCTACCTCCCCAAAGCCGCCTGCGAAAAAGGCCCTCTGAACACGGTCTGCCCTCCCAGAGCTCAAGTCCTCCGGTGACAATGCCAGGCACCATCACAACTGGGTGGAGAGCCACCAATCCTTCGCGCTTGAGCCTCATCCCTGGTGGTTCGGGCACCTTAAGTCCAGGCAAATTTGCAGGCAAACAATTGAACAGAAACAAGAGGAGCCACCAAATAGTGCAAATGTAACCAATTGCCCAACAGCAGGAATCTATGCATCTCCATTCCTTGTTAGGCCGCCTTTTTCTCTTCTTCTCTTCTGATAAACCCTTGTCATTTTTCTCAATTTTGGGGATTTCAAACGATTTCTTCTCATTATCTAACTTAATTTGTGCCTTTTTTTCATATAATTCACCACATTTCGCAGGCTCCAGAACACACAGCTTTCGAAATCGCAGAATTGAACCCATTGCATAAAAAATTACAAGAATTTATAGACTATGAAGACAATGATCGTCAAATTCCCGATTGAGAAAAAGTAGGTACCCAAATGGAATTGAATTGTGAGAAAATGAATTGCGAGAATCCAAATAATTAATTAAGAAAATGGGGTGGTGGTGGTGGTGGCAGGTGTAGGGTGGTGCAAACCACGTGGTGGAGGAGGAGATATGGAGGTGTCCGTAGGTGCATAAGAAAACAACACATTACACTAGTAGATTGAGTTGAAAACAAGAAGAAAACGAAAATTCGGCATATTAATTTCTTCATCAAGAATATTTTTTTTGCCAACAAAATTATTCCAATTCGTGGCGTTATATGATGATGAAACCAAAGAGCACACACTCACAGTATTTAGGACACTTGTATTTGCATGCAAAAACCTCCTTCAGCCGTCACCAGTCCACAATGTATTGTGAGTTCTGTTTTGCCTTTTTTACCCATCCCTCTCACGTGGAAATCTCTCTTACATATACACCCACCCACCCCCACCCCGGGTCACTTTTACTGGTTTACTTCAAGAGCAGAGGGAAAAGCCTCGAGGTTAGGAGGTGAGTTACTGTAGAGAGATCAAAAAACACAGTAAAGAGGGTATATTTGTGAGAGAGAAACAGAAAATCCAAATAAACAACTCCAATCATGGGAAAAATTGCACACAACGCGAAAAACACAGATACCCAAATCGTCGATGGTGACAGAGGGCCTGATGGTTTGTGATTTCCAATTGGGAATTTTCAGTGAGACAAACAAGATTTTTGGACTATTTGTTGTTAAAATATATTTACATGTGGGAATATATGTGCGAGTAATAGCAATGAATTATTATTTGAATTAGTCTAAATGTACACAATACTTTACCACACCCCCCTCCATATGAGGGAGGTGGAATCCATTTGGTAAAACATTATGTGTATATATAGCATATCTCTTATTATTTGGGGGTGGAGTGGGGGCACGGGGTCTAAGGAGATGGGAATGATTCTGCTACTGCCGATACAGCAGCGAAAGTTTTTGCTGAAGGGAATATGACTTCAAGTTTAGATACTTTAGTCAATGTTTGGGCCCTAATTTTACAAAAAACTCATTTTTCATCCCACATTCTTTCGTAAAATAATTTCACACATTCTCCAAAAAAATCGAAAAATTTTCTTTCCTTTTAATCACACATTTTCCAAAAAAATCGTTATTCAAGAATGAATAATGTTATTAAACACCAATAGTACTAGAGCACCAATCAATGTGACGCGTAATTGACATAAAATGTGTTGTTATAAGATTCATTTAATTGGATCTATCGTTTGTTGCTACCTAAACTAATGCTTAGCACTAATGGTAATGAATATCATTACTTTTCCAAAATATTTTTTCTTATCAAAATGAGGCTCAAACGGGGGCAATTTTGCTGGCCATTAATGTTTATAATTATTGAGGACAACTGTGTGCCGCGGAAGAGCTCTTTTTCCATTGTGTCCATGGAAATAAACAAAACGGCAAAATCTAATTTTAGAGAGTAATGTAATAGGTAGAAGTTGGGAATGATCCTCGTGTAAGATGGTATTAAATTCCAGTTTTTACATAATTGAATTTGAAAACCTTGAGAAACCACATTGCTTTATGGTTGAAACTGCATTAAATTCGAAGGATAGAAGAATGCCTATCCAACTCCATAATTATACCTTTTTTATGTCAAAATTGGACCAAATTTTGGGAGAGATAAGCGTGACAAATTTCTTGTGCGGACAAGATAATATTGAAAGGATTTTATCACTTTGTCAGGATAAATGTAACAGATATAATGATATAATTCGAGATAACAGCAGATAATTTGATGAAAAACTGACTATGTTTAAAACAGTTTAATAATGAAATGTCATGTGACATTATGTCAAGAATTATGGCATTGTAGCATGATTGATACCGAAAAGCAATTGTGTTTGAAATACGATTAATACATTATACTGAATAATATTAAAGAAAAATAATAAACTGTGACAATAGTCGAGCCTCTCTATTTTAAAAAATCTCAACTTTAGCATACAGATCAAATTCATTAGAAGTTTGATACACACATAAATTTTAGAAAAGGGTGGCAACAAGAACCCAAGTTTTTGCTTCTAAAAGGTTAAATTATTATAAGGGAAGTAAATACATATATTTAGTTAAATCTTGTATGTCAATAGTATATCTAATTTAGCACCTATCTATCATCCATTTTTCCAAAATTCTTTTTTTTTTTT